TAAAAAAAAAAAAAAAAAAAAGAGTTTGGCTACTAACCAAAAGGTCAGCAGTTTGAACCCACCAGCCACTCCATGGGAGAGAAATGAGTCAGTCTGCTTCTGTAAAAATTTAGAGATTTGAAAACCCTATGGAGTAGTTCTACTATGAGTCAGAATCAACTCTATGGCATGGGTTTTTGTTTTAAAATCTTAATAAAGCATGTGTAGTACACCATTTTATAAATACTAATAAAATGTAAATTCCAAATAGTCAATTCATTTTCACAAAATGCTTTCATTGATTTTTGCCAACATTCTTGTATCTGAAGGCAACCTATGGCTGTAATTAAGAATGAGTGTAGTTCCAATACAAATATGTTCATTTAAGTTAATTAGACAAAATAAAACAATAAAGATGTCTTTTTTGCTGAGTCAGACATTATTTTTCTAGTATGTAAGGATAGTTTCTCACTTTTTATTCTTTTTACCACATAGTGGCTACAAACCTGACCAACTTTTAAATTTAATCTATTTTACTAATTATTTTTTCCGTTACTTTCTCAGTTCTAAACAATCAACCAAACAATAATTGAGCCCTGAGATACAGCAGCTGCAGTTTCTGTGATGTAGAACACTCCGTATTGACTGATTCCATGCTACCAAGGACAAGCCACTGCACAGGGAGTTGGGAAGAGAGGCCCAGCAGCTCCCTTTATCTAGTATTTTCACTATGCAGATACAATAGACATAAATAACTTCAAGAGCATAGGTAATAGTAATGGGTAGAAAATATTAGGAGGTGAGTATTTACTGCCTATAAAGAATCTCAGATATATAAAGAAGTGTCACACATCCCTTGAGGAAAGAAGGCTTATTCAATAAATGATGCTGTAATAATTGATTATTCAGTCCACATTTCTTGACCACAAAACATATAAGAAGAAAAAAAAGTAAATATGTATCAAATGACTAGAAAGAAGACTTTCTACATTTGAAATTATCAGAGGAAATCTCAATGAAAGGTTTGATAGACCTGACTAAATTAAATATGGAAAGCCAATTAACAGGATAAACTGAAAAAATGGGGCCACTTTAGGCTAGCACTTCTGTAGAAGTAGAGTCAGGAGATAAGGGAAATGACCACCCAGAATTTTCTCTTTAACCTCTTCCACATGCCTCGCTGTCATTTTCAAAGGCTCTCAAAAAAAAAGAAAAAAAGAAAAAAATCATGCTCCAGAAAAGGGTTCACTCTTCCACAGTAGTTTGAGACGTTTTCCCAATGTCAAATCTGAATCTCTCCCAATGTGACTGTATACTCTTCCTCATTACTCTTTCCTTAGTGAAAATAAAGAGTAATTGAATGACCAAAACTTATGATACATTTGAATATGCTGTCAACTCTAGGGGATGTCTTGTGTCCCATTCCTTCTCTTTAAATGAGAAACAACATTTGTGTCTGGATTAATTTATGTGTCTGTCATAAATTTTAAAAAAACAACCGGTAAAAGTCCCCTAGAGATAGAGGGGATCCCAAAGGTAAACAGAACATGGCCATGGGGAATCTGGGGAAAGAAGTGCTCAAAGTCTAGGCTGGAAGGATATTGGTGTTCTTCTGTTGCAACAAGGTCCCAGATATCAGACTGGGATCTAGGGGCCAGGCTCCAATGCCCGAGAAGGGAAATCAGAAGGAGACAGGTAGGGCTTGACTCAAGCTACTGGGCACATTGCTACCAGAGTGACACAAAAACATAGGCTGAAGCAGAAGCCCAGTTATTCAAACTTGGTCCATCAATGAGGCAGAAGGCAGCATCAGCTTGAGGACTTGGAAGCAGGATTCTTGTTAGTGGTGTTACAGTAAGATGTTGATGGAGGGAATACTCCCTTTGGAGAATTCTAGAGCACAACCAAAAGGTCCCTAGGTGGTGCAAACAGTTTGTCCTTGTTTACTAACCTAAAGGTTGGAGGTTCTAACTCACCCAGTGGAGCCATGAAAGAATGGTCTCGCAATCTACTTCTGCAAAGATTACAGCCAAGAAAACTGTGCAGCAGTTCTACTACATAACATATGGGGTCACCATGAGTTGGAATTAACTCAATGAAACAGATTGGCTTTCTGTTGTTTGATTTCTTCTAAAAGAGCAAGTCAGAGCTCAGAGTTGCATAATTATTTTCAGTGTAAGTCAAGTAACACCAGCATTACCTTGGCAGGAGTCGCATCGTCCTGTTGGTGATAGCTGTGTTAGATAGATTGAGATACAGGACCCCAGGGCAGCCCTCTGAGATGTGCCTCATGGATTCATCCTACATAAAAATAAAGGGAAGAATATTATCAGACACTAGCAGACTTTGCTATTTTCCCATCATCTCTCTGCTGTCTCAGAAAAAAACATATACAAGAGTTGGTCTCTTCATTTTTATATATATATTAATTGTAAATCAAATTAAATAGAAGCCAGTGGTTTGGCTTGAAGCTTCATTTCTTCCTTTCTTTCCTTTTCTTTAAAAATAAATTTGTCCCATTCCATCATAATGACACTTCATTAAAATTTGAACCCTTGCAAGTTCAACTCTGTGGGAGGAATTTTGAGCTCAACTGTCAAAATGTCACACACTCCTGACCCTTCAGATGCATGCAAGGGATTTAAACTGGTCCGTTTTTAAACTTACTAAAATCATTCCAAAAGACAGGAAAGTAAACACTCTCAACAACTGGACTTCCTAAAAAATGAGTCCATATTTATATATATATATAAATATATATAGTTGTGGTAGTTAAGGTTATGTGTAAACTGTGCTGGGCCTGGTTATGAGTAACTGGGCAGCTGCATGTAGTTACTTCCCATGATGAGACTGGTAATCAGCTGCAGCGTGGAATCTAATATGAGCAGCTGAGTAGCTGCCTTAGGGATGTGATCTTTGAGAAAGATCTTGAGCTTTTTTGGCATAGCTGGATCCTGCATTTTGCCTGCCTATCTTGAGACGGTTTCTGGACTTGAACTAGTGGCCTGCTGTGCTGCTTGATAATTTTGGGACTGTAGCATTTTACTTGTCAACCTTGTGTTTGCCAGCCTCAGCAGCCAGCAGCTGCTTGAGTTAAGAGACACCTGTAGCTATAATGGACTAGGAGCAAGAGGCAGAGCTGAAGCCTAAGGTCAAGGGGCCTTCACCCAGCCCCTAGATCTGGCTCTTTGAACTCAGACTTCTAGCCTCCTAAAATGTAAGAGAATAAACTCCTGTTTGTTAAAGGCATCCGCTTGTGGTATATTTTCCATTAGAGCAGCACTAGAGGACCAAAACAATACTTATATAAAGTATAATACTTATATGTTGCTCTCCACAGTTATGGCAATAATCTAATCTCTCCCATCACTGAAAGGGTTATATATGTGTGCATGTGTGAGTATATGTGTGTGTGTGTATACACACACTCACACTTAACTCACACATACACAACCACTATTTCATGTTTATGTGTCTATGTGTGTGCATATATGTGTATGTGTGTATACACATACATATGTAACAAGTTTGTTGATCAAGTATCACAGTGCTTGTGCACTTGTTGAAAGAGACAGTGAAAATGCAAATAAGAACAGGAAAGTGAAGAAAGCTATTTGATAAACTATAAGGCAGCCCCGGAGAAAATAAAACCAGGGCTTTGAACAGGTGTTGCCTGGTTCTGTCATGGCTGATGAAGTGAATCCAGGTGGACCTAAATTTGTTACACGTGGGTATATTGGAATGATAACAAGAATGGGAAAAATCACAAGTCGACAAGATCCAGAGACTTAATCTCCCTCTTAGAAAACAAGAGTAGTATATGCACTGCCCAGCAAACAAATCTCTTGACTCACAGAGTCGGAGACATTGTTGCCCTGCTCAAAGATGGCAATCAACCACGCCACTTTGAATGTGTGTTGCTCTCCACAGTTATGGCAATAATCTAATCTCCCCCATCACTGAAAGGGCTAAGTACACCTCTTCCAAGCCTCCCATTGTAGGACCTTCTGTTTGAGATAAGGAGGCAAAACAAACTGTTCTCTGCATTTACCTGTCTGGAAGAGCTTGGGCATCTATATGAGCTCAAACCAATCACATTCTCAGTATTGAAGAACTAAAAATTCAGTCCCCAAATGTTTGACCACAGGAATGCAAAATTAATGTCTTTTAATGTTGAAGCATGGTTTATAAATTTGTCCACAATGCACTTGAATCTTTCTGAATGTAATACATTTCATAAGGCAAGCTTCTTAGAAATGAAAGCTTTTTAAATGAATGTTACCCAGCTCCTCAAATGTAAGCCTGTCTCCAGGTCTATGTCTCAGATGGAAAAAAATAGTAAAATGTAGCTGGATAAAATTATCAGCCCTTTGTACTATTAGACACCAAAGTTGGAAAAGACTCTGTGATGTTCCCAAATTCAATACAGATGGCATTGTTTTTACTTTTCTCTTAGAAAGCCAAATTTAAAGAATATGATCTTCTACTCAAGTATAAGGAGCTCTGGTAGCGTAGTGCCTAAGGCACTTGACTGCTAACCAGAAGGCTGGCGGTTCAAACACACCAACCACTCCTTGGAAGGAAGGTTGGGCAATCCACTTTCGTAGTGATACCGCCTAGGAAACCCAAGGAGGGGTCACTATGCGTCAGGGCCAACTGGAGGGCACACAACAACAACTCAAGTTTGGAACTGAAGTTCCCTGAAGGTAGGAGCTGAAAGTCGATTCATTATTTTCAATTCCTTATAGGCTGGAGGTTCAAACCCACCAGCCATTCATGGGAAGGAAGGTTGGGCAATCTACTTCCGTAGTGATGCCACCTCGGAAACCCAAGGAGGGGTCACTATGAGTTGGATTCCACTCGTCAGCAGTGAGTTTGTTTTTTGTTTTTTTTTTTTTTTTTTTTTTGGTATAACACCTAGCACAATATCTTTAACACAGTTGTTGTTGTTGTTATGCGCCCTCGAGTCAGAACTGACTCATAGCGATCCCTTCTTGGGTTTCTGAGGCAGTAATACTATGGAAGTAGATTGCCCAACCTTCCTTCCCAGGAGTGGCTGCTGGGTTTGAACCGCCAGCCTTCTGGTTAGCAGTCAAGTGCCTCAAGCACTATGCTACCAGAGCTCCTGTAGCTTGGGAAAGGGAGATATCAATTATGTCAAAAAGTGAATGGAATTTCATAAGGTTGAAGGATTTGGGAAAGGGATCAGGAATCACTGCTGATAGGCAGAGTATTTCTTTTGGGGGACGGTGAAAATATTTTTAAATTTATTGTGATGATGACTGCAAAACTCTGTAAACATATTAAAAGTCATTGAATTATACACTTTAAATTGGTGAATTGTATGGTATGTAAATTATGTCTCAATGCTATTGTGTGCTATTGAGACTATTCCAATTCATGGCGACCCTGCAGGACAGAGTAAAATTGTCCTATAGGTCCTAGGCTGTATGTAATCTTTATGCAAGCAAGTTGCTGGTCTTTTTTCCCATGGGGTGGCTGGTGGGTTCAAATTACCAACCTGTGGTTAGCTGCTGAGTTCTTAGCCATTGCACCACCAGGGCTATAAGAGCAACCCAGGTGGAGATGGGAGGGTAGGGGAGAAGGGTGATCATTCCAGAAAGACAGAAAAACAGATACAAGAACACAACTAAACAATATGTCATGTCCTGGCAACTTCGAGTGATTCAGTCTTTAAATGGAATAGAAATTTGAAAGAAAGAACTATAAAGATGAGTCTGGAGACATAGCAGGAGGGGGCCAATTCGTGAAGTATCTTTTCACTTGTGTTTGGATGTGATGCTAGTGTTGGTGGAATTGGAGGGACATGACACTGTCAGGCTGGGAATAGTCCCTCTTATTCCCCTGGGGACTAGCTCCACCATTTATGTCCTTATCCAAGTGTTTCCCTATCAGCTTCTAAACCTGTTTCCATTTCCCTGCCCTTGTATTCCTTCTGCCACTCTCTTAGCTGCTTTTCTGGAAAGATCAGTGTATGCTTAATGCCTCAATTTCTCACCTCTCAACTCCTCCTCATCTCACTACGATCAGTTTTCTGTTTCAAAATCCCACCAAAACTATTTTAGCAAAAGTCACCAGTTACCTTCCAATTCTTAAATACAGGAGACACTGCTCAGTTATTTTCTTACCTCTTCCCTATTTCCTTCTAAAACTCACTTCCTTGGCTTCTGTGATGTTTATGTTCTCAACCTACTTTCTTACTGTTCCTTCTTACTATCACTTACTATTTCCTCTTCCTCTGCCTGCTCCTAAAGGTCAGTGTTTTCCAAGGTTCAATCCTAAATTCTCCTCATACCTTCTCTGTCTCTCTAGGTTGATCCTGAATCACTCTTGTGATGTTAATAATGACTCATACACAGATGCAGTCCCAGTTCTAGCCATTGCTGTCCTTTGCCTATGAGACCTCACCATTTACTTTCATTCATTAAACAAATATTATCCAACATATACCAAATACCAGGCTTTGTGCTGGGTGCTATAACTGTCAAAACCAATCAGACACAGCCACTGTCCTTTGAGCCATTAGACTAGTGGGGGAGGCAGAAACCCTGTGGTCCAAGACACTCATTATGGGAACCAGAGGAGCCATAGTGAACCCAGCCCTGGGAGCCAGTGGCATCTTGCTCAAGGAGGTGATGCCTAAAGTAAGTGTTAAAGCATCGCAAGACGTTACTTACTTGAGGACGAAGGGAAAGGGCATTCTGAGCAAAGAGCACAGGATGAGCAAAGGCAGAACCACAAAGGACAGCTTGGTGTCTGCAGCTAAGAAAGTACAGAAGGTTGTGGTGGTTGACAGCTGATGTGTAAACAGGAACTGCAGTGAGATAAGGATGGGAAGAGAGGCGGAGGCAAGACCGCAGAAGGTCTCCATGGTACAATAATGTTAAAGACCCTTGGCTTTATCCAGTACTATAGACGATGGGAGTGCAGTAGTCAGATCTGCCTTTTAGAGAGTATCGTGTGCCCACAAGATGGAAGTCAGATTGGAGGTAGAGGGAAAGACTAGAGGGAGGGGTCAGGAAGGAAGTGGCTAGAATTATATGTTCATTTCCATGATAGCCATGAAGACCACTAAAATGAGCCTCTTGTCTCTGCTAGAGCCCACTTTTTCTGCTTCATGCAGACATGCCCTTAAACATAAACCTAGTTCATGTTTGTGTAATTATTGAATAGTTTCCACTTTCCAGAGGCTCCAAAATTGGGCATATAGCTAAAAGATTAATAATAACAATATAAAGATGTGATAGAATTTCATGCGAATGTTTAACACAGTTTGCTTTTTTCCACATTTAGTCCTAAATGAACACGCAGGCATGTATTTTGATTAAAGCTCTGCATATTTAGCACTCCAGTGTAGCAAGTCTGAATCTATATAAACAACAGAAAAATCAGCTTCTTATACTTACTGTGAGGGTTGTGCAGTCAGAGACGTTCAACTCTTGCAAATTTCTACAGTGGCCTAAATCAAACAAGTTACACATCACTAACAACATATTATGAATGTTTACCCTTAGTTTTCCAATCCTACACTCAATGTGGCATATTCATCAGAAAATAAACAATAATTTTGGCAAGTAATTTATTCTAAATATATGGTTTCCCAGAAAAGGGGTTTCTTTTGGCCTAAAAATTAAAATATATACACATTTATTATTGCTTTAAGATTATAGGAAGAAGGGGAGAAAAGGAAATACTACTTTTGGAAAAATAGTTTAGACTGAAGGCTTTTAGCTTGGAAAAACTTGAAGAAAACCATCTGCCTTCTTTGTTCTTTTTGTTTTTTGTTTTCTTTCAACATTTTATTATGAAAAATTTCAAACATGTAAAAAAGTTGAAAAGATTGTACCATGAATACTCACATACACACCACCTAGATTCTATAATTAACATTTTACTATTTTTGCTTTATCACATATCCATCCACCCATCCATCCACCCCTCAGTATCTCTATCAAACTGCCTTATATTTTTATGAATTTCAAAATAAGGTGCAGACATCAGCACACTTCTTGTAAATACTTCAGCATGCACATCTTTAATAGAGTTCAATATTTGTTTATGACTTTTCAGGTTAGAATTACATACAATTTTATATAATGAAAAGCAGACAGAGAAGTGGAGGGTTAGAGAGACTAAGTGCCTGAATAGCTCTAGGGCCAGAGGCAAGTGCAGAGCTTGGGCTCCACCCTGGTCTCCAGATCTGAAAGGCACTGCACAGCTTATGGGCTCACAGAGGATATAAGCCATATGTATAAAGAGCTAGACAGCAAGATTCCACAATCCAGACCCTGAGTCTGGACAGTATTAAGTGCAACTCCAAATCCAAGCAGGGGAGGGCACAAAAATTAGTGAATACGAGGAATTCCTTAGGCAAAAAATGGGGGAAGGCATTCTAGGTGGAAGAGACCCCATAAAACAGGAAAACTCCAGGCAAGAGGTGATCCTAGCATTCAGACTGCTACAATGGATAGAAAAAAACATCTGCTGCTTATAACCACATAGCCCCACACGAATAACAACAGAAATGTTATTCATTATAAATCCATATTAAGCATTTTTTTTTCCTTTGCCAAGAATAGAATATGTCCTAACTAATAAATGCAAACCAGAAATACTTTCAGAATTTAGAAAACAAATACAATTCTTAAGAATTTGTTGGTCTTGGATGTCATCAGTACAGGAAAAAAAAAAAAAAATAAATAGGTTACCAGATCAATATAATTAAGTTTATAAGTGCTCTTACAGCATAGCCAGTTAAGAGTAAGCACGGCAACGATTCTGAAAGTGGTACAGGCGGGGGCACCCCTGTTTCGTTCTGTTTTCATAGGGTCACGATGAATTGAAACTGACTCCGTGGCACCTAACAACAACTTAAGAGTAATTTATACATTTATAAATTCAACAAATATTTATTGAAAACCTACTATGTGCCAGAAGCTCTACAGGTGCTGAAAATATGGCAGCAAACAAAATAGAAATCCTGCCCTTACTGAAGTCATTCTAGTAGGGACAGAGTGACAGTCAACAAAGGAAGGAGCATCTCTGCTTTGACAGAAGGTGATTTAAATGGTATGGAGAAACATAGAATCAGAAAGGAGATGAAGAGAAGGAGATGTGATTTTAAATAGGGTGGTCAGAGAAGGCTTCACTGAGCAGGTGAGATTAAGCCAAGACCCACAGGAAATGACAAGGACAATGCAATTTACTCTGAGCCTTTCTGGAGCCCACAGTCAACATGGTTGGTGTTTGGGAAACAGTAAGGAAAGGAAAAGCAAGCTCGAGAGGACAAGCATTTCAGTCCCACTTCTGCTCATCTCAGGGCGGAAAGGAATTCCCTGCATTTCTTAAGATGATCAACTACAGGTCTTTATCTGTAGGTAACATCACTGCTGTCAAGTGGATCGACTCATAGCTACCCCTCCTTGGGTTTCCCAGGCGGTATCACTACAGAAGTAGATTATCTGGGGGAGGCCCTTGCTTAAAAAATAACACTGTGCTTGCTGTGGTCCTTAACAACTTTTAATATTCTTTTTCTCTTCCAACCCAGGAACTCCACGTACCCCCGCTGGGTCTCCTTGTTCCTGAACTGCATTAGTTAAGATTACTCAAACTTGGATTTGGAATACTTGCATTGCACCACCTGTCACGCCCAGTTACTGGGGCCAGCTGGATGTCAGGATGCGCGTGGTTACCATTGTAATCCTGCTGCTCTGCTGTAAAGCCGCTGAGCTCCGCAGGGCAAGCCCCGGGGGCACGCGAAGTCGCGCGAATCAGGGCAGGGCTGCAGGCAGTCGGAGAGGCTCCAACCCGGTAAAACGCTACGCGCCAGGCCTCCCCTGTGAAGTGTACACTTATCTCCACGAGAAGTACTTAGATTGCCAGGAAAGAAAACTAGTTTATGTGCTGCCCGGCTGGCCCCAGGATTTGTTGCACATGCTGTTAGCCAGAAACAAGATCCGCATATTGAAGAACAACATGTTTTCCAAGTTTAAAAAGCTGAAGAGCCTGGATCTGCAACAGAATGAGATCTCCAAAATTGAGAGTGAGGCTTTCTTTGGTTTAAACAAACTTACCACCCTCTTATTGCAGCACAACCAGATCAAAGTTTTGACGGAGGAGGCCTTCATTTACACGCCTCTCCTGAGCTATCTGCGCCTGTACGACAACCCTTGGCGCTGTACTTGTGAAATAGAAACGCTTATTTCAATGTTGCAGATTCCAAGGAACCGGAATTTGGCGAACTATGCCAAATGCGAAAGTCCACAAGAACTGAAAAATAAAAAACTGCGGGAGATACAATCGGAACAGTTATGTAATGAAGAAGAAAAGGAACAACTGGAGCCGAAACCCCAAGTGTCAGGGAGACCCCCAGTCATCAAGCCTGAGGTGGACTCTACTCTTTGCCACAATTATGTGTTTCCCATACAAACGCTGGACTGCAAAAGAAAAGGTTTGTACTAAGTTTCTTACTTCCATTATGAAAAAATGCTTTTTTGAGTTTTATAACCCTCTCTACACCCCATCATGCCTTGGAATTTCTGGGGCCTCTTCCACACAAATCTTCCTCCAGTGGCACTGGTATTTGCTCCAAGCATTTCTGGAGTCCAGACTCAACATGGTTGGTGATTGGGGAGGGGGCAGTAAAGGAGAGGTGGAATTATGCTTTAAAGGGGCAACCTTTTGGGTCCTAATCATAACTGCTTGCCTTAAACCACAGCTGTAAGGAGTTCCTTTAATTTCGTGAATTTGGTGTAATTTAATTTAGGTAAACCAAAATATATAAAATCAAGTGCAAGTGTATTCTTTGGCAGAAATGACATTTATATTAACCTGACTTACTCCAACTAAAGTCTAAACGAGTACAGTCTCAGGGGATAAGTTAGTTAATTGGCATTACATAGTTCACAAAGGTATTCTACATTCTAGTTTGGTGAATAGTGTCCAGGGTCTCATCATCTTGCAAGTGACCAGCTAAGATACAACAATTGGTCTCTGCTAGTATGGAGCAAAAGGCAATGAAGGAAATCAAAGGCTCAAAGAAGAAACTAATCTACAGGACTAAGAGCCTACATGACCCACAACCTCTCCTAACCTGAAACCAGAAGAACTAGATGGAGCCTTGCTACCACTACTGACCGTTCTGGCCAGAAAAAAAATAGGTCTTGGGATAGAATGGAAGGAAAATGTAGAACAAAACTCAGATTCCTAAAAAAGACCAGACCTACTGGACTGACAGAGACTAGAGGAACCCTCAAGACTGTCACCCTAAAATAACCTTGGACTATGGAACTGAAGCTATTTCTGCAGGTCACCTTTCACCCAAACAATAGATTGGCTTGTAAAAGAAAGGTATCACCCAGGAATAATGTGCTCCCTTGAACTATGAACTATTTGAGACCAAAGGTCAACATTTACCAAAAGCAAAGGTGAGAAGGGGAGGAGAGGAAACCAGAACAATGGAAACAGAGCAACAGAGTGACAATAATGAGAGCGCTGACACATTGTGAAAATTGTAACCAATGCCACCGAACAAGCTGAATGAAAAAGGGGAACCTAACTTGCTAAGTAAACTTTCACCTAAAACACAGTGAAATATTAAAAGTAACAAATAAAACATGATGGCATCTAACAACAACACTCCAGTTTAATTCAAAACATGGTGTGTGTTTGTAGGGGCATAGGGACTTCAAGAAAAACCATCTGCCAAACATGACAGGTGAGAACACTCTGAAATGGAGACCAAATGGGATGTAGCAATGGTGCATCTGTCTTTCCTATGATTTCATCCCAAAGTTTAATAAACACCTGCAACTTCCTGTGTCTTAATTGCCCCAAAATTATCCAAAATAAAACATAAATACCTAAAGGCTCAAGTTTAAATGATTCAATCTAAGAACTATGTGACTAAGAAAGTCTTTTTAGAATATTACCTACTTCCTGCAAATCATTAATGGCTTTTACAACCCACACAAACTTCTGCTATTGCTGTGCAGGATTTGCACATGCAAGACACATTCATGTAATAAGGCAACAGACAGAAGATTTTAATAATGATTTTGACAGGTTATTTGAAGACTGAAGTTCTCAAAGGGGGGTCGAGGCACTGCTAATCTACCCTAGGATGACAAACTATATGACAAAGTCTATGTGTTTCACTTCTGATAGGGATTAATATTTGTATCATTAATATAATTAATATTTGTATTATTAAAGCCAGACATTGTTGGATTGGGTCATATAAAGTGGTATCATTCCTTTCACTTATTTTGGGTGGTTTTGCTTTGTTTGTTTCTCTGAGGACAAAAGAAAGGAAAGGTTAAAAGGACCTCTCAAGGGAACCATGAGCAGGAATTTGTTGACACTGAACAATCAGGCAACTTGAGCTGGGAGCAAATTTGTCCATTTATCAGCAAAGTCATTCTCCACCTTACCCCTAACTCTGACTCTGAAAGGTGATGCCTTTCAGCTGTGTGGCACAGAGAGTTTTCCATACTCCAGTGCCCTATGAATGGGTATAATTTGATGCCAGAGTGGAGAAGTTACAGCATTGTAACCTGAGAAAAATACTGTCCTGGGCTTCTCTGAATTTGAAGGGAAGTGCTCATTAATTGAGGACCTACAATGCTCTGGGTACTCCATACACATGTTGTCCACAACTTCCAAGAAGGCAGTACTACCACACTGGTGAGAGAAATGAGACTCAGGGAGGTTCATTCACTTGGAAGCATTCTTGCAAAGGTAAAATTTGAATCCTGGCATACCTAAGCCAGAACCTATGAGCTCTTCATCCTACTGTCCTTCAGAATTACTCTGATCCTGTTCAAACAACCAACTACCCCAACAACTGAAGCATGAAGAAAAATGTACACTGTACAGAGAGTCAGTACAGGCATACATACCTCAGAGATATTGCAGGTTCGGCTCCAGGCCACTGCAATAAAACAAGTATCTCAGTAAAGCGAGTCACATGAATTTTTTTGTTTCCCAGTGCATATGAAAGTTATGTTTACACTTGTTGTTGTTATGTGCCGTCGAGTCGGCCCCGACTCATAGTGACCCCTCCTTGGGTTTCCGAGGCAGTATCACTACGGAAGTAGGATTGCCCAACCTTCCTTCTGAGGAGTGGCTGGTGGGTTTGAACCGCCAGCCTTCTGGTTAGCAGTCAAGTCTCTATTAAGTGTTCAATAGCATTATGAAAAAGTTTGAAATATTGTGAGAATTACCAAAATGTGACAGAGACACAAAGGGAGCAAATACTGTGGGAAAAATGGCACTGGTGACTTGCTTGACACAGGGTTGCCACAACCTTCAATTTGTAAAAAGCACAGTATCTCTGAAGCTCAATACAGCAGAGGGCAATAAAATGAGATATGCCTGTATGTGGTTTCTCTGTAGCCAGACTGGGTGGAATTTCCCTGACATTATATGAGTGACTACATAGTGCTTCATACTGAAGGGCATAGTTTACTAGGATTTCCTTTGTGATGGTTACATTTAAAACTTTAATTATATATACTTAAAACTAATCCAAAGCTACTATGTTAGACTTAGATTAGAAAAAATTACTTGATAAGCTGAAGTTCTATCTTCAAACTAAAGTTAATTTGCACTTGCTGCCCCAGGGGTCAAAGAGAAAAATAGGTATAATTAAATACTTGCTTTTCTGGGTGGTGTGGGGGGAAGAAATCATCTACACAAAACCATCTACTTTGAGGAGGTCTTCTCTATCCGTATTTTGAGTGGTTTCCAACCTGAGCAGCTCATCTTGCAGCACGATTATCAGAAATGAGAACTTGTCAAAAATGAAGTGGAAAGCATGGAGATTGCTATCCTAGGCGTTCATGAGCTGAAATGGACTGGTATTGCCCATTTTGAATTGGATAATTATATGGTTTCTTAACTGGGAATGACATATTGAAGCAGAATGTTGTCACATTCCCCATCAAAAAGAACATTTCCGGAAACAACAACACAGCTAAATTCCACTGTTCATCTGTCAGTTTGTCGTATTGTGGTGGCTTGCATGTTGCTGTGATGCTAGAAGCTATGCCACTGGTATTTCAAATCCCAGCAGGGTCACCCATGATGGACAGGTTTCAGTGGAGCTTCCAGACTAAGACAGGCTAAGAAGAAGAACATGGTGGTCTACTTCTGAAAAATATGGCCACTGGAAACCTTATGAATAGCAGTGAAACGTTATTTAATATAGTGCTAGAAGATGAGCTCCTTAGATTGGAAGGTACTCAAAATACAACTAGGAAAGAACTGTGTCTGCAAAGGAGAGTCAACCTTAATAATGTGAATGGAATAAAGCCTTCAGGACATTCATTTGCAGATGTGGCATGACTCAGAATGAGAGAAATAGCTGCAAACATCCACTAATACTCGGGACATGGAATGTATGAAGCATGAATCTAGGAAAATTGGAAGATGTCAAAAGTGAAATGAAAAGCATAAAGATCATTATCCTAGGCATTAGTGAACTGAAATGGACTGGTATTGTCCATTCTGAATTGGGCAATCATATGGTTTACCATGGGGAGCTTTGGTGGCATAGTGCCTGAGGCATTTGACTGCTAACCAGAAGGCTTGTGGTTCAAACTCACCAGCCACTCCTCAAAAGGAAGGTTGGGCAATATACTTCCGTAGTGATGGCGCCTCTGAAACCCAAATAGGAGTCACTGTGAGTCAAATCTCACTCGACAGCAGTGAGTTGGATTATTTTTGTTTTTTATGGTTTACTATGCCAGTAATGACAAATTGAAGCAGAATGTTATCACATTCATCATCAAAAAGAACATTTCAAGATCCATCCTTAAGTAAAATACTATCAGTGATAGGATAATATTATACACAGACAAGGAAAAGAGTTAATAAGAATATCATTCAAATTTATGCCCCAACCACTAAAGCCAAAAATGAAGAAATTGAAGATTTTTACCAGCTTCTGCAATCTGAAATGGATCAAACATGCAATCAAGATGCATTGATAATTACTGGTGATTGGAATGCAGAGGTTGGAAACAAAGATGAAGGATCAGTAGTTGGAAAATGTGGCCTTGGTAATAGAAACAACACCAGAGATCTACAAAAAGGACAAGGAGGCCACATATTCTGACCTCCTAGAACCCCACAAGAGGAAGGCAGAATCACCATCAATAGCCCAAGGCCTATTCCTGCAAGGCCAGACATGCTGCCTCCCTCCAGCCCTTTCTCCAACCGTTCCTCCCAAAGCACCTACCACCTCTCTCCTGCATTTGATAATTCGCTGCAGT